CACGCTGTATATTTCGTCCCAGCCAAGTACTTCCCTGCCGTCGGGGGGATAGTTCGCGATCTCATCGAGGAAGAGCTTCGGCGCCCCCCGCGACGCGTACAGCGCTAGATCGAGCCGGCCCTTCCACTCGACCAGCTTGGCCTTGATCTGTGGGGTGATCCAGTCCTGCGCGAGGAAGACGCTGAGGAAGATGCTCGAGTTGGCGGCGTGCATGTAGAAGAAGTCCATCTTGACGACCTTGGGCGGGTTCTGCGCCGCGCCCGTCAGGTATGCGTCCGCGTTGATCACCTCGGCCGCGGCTCGTTCCAGGCGCTCCTGGCTGTAGGGAGGCGGGACCTGCCACTGCGCGGCGTAGGCGACCATTTCGGCTTTGGCACGGGCTAGAACGCCGTCACGGACCTTTTGTCCATCGTCCCAGTGCGCCGCTGTCGAGACTTTGGCGTCGCCGCGGACCTTGTCCAGCAGGTTCACCATCGTGTCTGGCGTCTCTTCCTCTGCGCCTTTCGCAGTGAGCTCGAAAAAGGCGTCCAGGTACGTTGAATGCAAGCACGCCTGGGCTAGCGCCTCGGCCACAATCGCCGGCTGGTTGAACTCCACGCCGTATCCGAGGTGGATAAAAGGGTGATAGTATCCCGCGAAGAAGCGGTTGAAGATGGTCCTGGCCGGTTCGGTGTCGGAGAAGACGTACTCGTTGAGAACGTCGGGGATCGATGCCGACGAGAGCTTTTGCGTAAAATACGCCAGGAAAGTCGAGTAGTTCTCCGGCCTGGTCATGGTGTTCAGAAACAACTGAGGGTCACTATCAAGGGACCTGAGGACATTTTCGTCTGCTGGTGGAGGGGGCCGTTGGTACGATGCATTCTTTTCATACTGCTTTTTCAATGTCTCTGCGTCGGCTCCCAAGGCGAATGCAGCGAGGGCGTGGTGGACGATGTGGTTGTGGCGACCGACCTCGTCGAAGAGGATGTCGTGTGTGGTGTGGTTGCGGTTGAGGAGAGAGCTGGTCGTGTCTGTGGCTTCTTGATCCAAGACCTTGACACGGACGATGGCCGGCACATCGGTAGAGAGGCTGATCTTGGTTACTGTTGCCATTTTGTCGGAGGTTGGTGTATGCTTTCCCCAGGTTCAGGCTTAATGGAATGCAGGCGAAATGTGGAGGAAGGTGGATGCTTTATGTATGGTACGGCCAAATGGACAAGAGGCAATGGTCGCTGGATCAAGTCTACATGCACAGCCAAGCAATTAGCGAGACACCATCATGACTATTCGAGGTGCTGTAGGCCTATGGGCCGTAGCAGAGGCAATGGCGACATCTGGTGGATGTGAGGGGCATGGCACGAGCTTCTCCTCATTCTGGTTGCTGATTGATAACATGAACCAATGTGGTTGGGGCTGGATATTTGCCAGCGTTGAAGGGAGGATCCTTTTGGTTACCAGCGGAATACATGAAAGAAAGATACTCCCGCTCAATCACCAAACCCATGTCCTCACGAAGAGAGATAGATTCCTTATACATAGAGGTTGTGATTGGACAGGACATCGCAAGTCGGATCCAATATCACCAGCTGCATTTCCTCCTTTTCCGGGCGTTGTCCATCCCGCTATGTCTTACGACACAAGATTTCTCCACTGGGAACGGCAAAGAAAGCATCCTCGTCCTCGCCCCATCTCTTCCAGGCTTCAGAGAGGTTCTTGATCTCATCTTCGGTTGAAAATCCTTCTCGGACTGCCGTCCCCATGAATCCAGGCTGTAAGATTCTCCCTGTCCAACTTTGAGCAAACTGGGCCACTCGCTGCCCAGCAAATCTCCAGCAATCCCATGTAGTGGTGATCTCATCTGGGGAGAAACCAGCTTGCTTTGCCCAGACGTGACAATATCGCCCTGCATTGGGCTCGCCTCCATTCGTCTTTGCGACTTTCTGATAGAGCTCTGCCCACCGCGCGATCTCAGGGATTTCTGGATACCAAGCGAACGACTTGTAGTCGGCTTCTCGAGCAGCCACGATACCACCAGGCTTGGCAACTCTCCGCATCTCCTTCAATATGGCGACCGGATTTTTCACGTGTTGCAGGACCTGATGACAAAACACGATGTCAAAGGAGTTGTCCTCAAACGGTAAGTCATTGGCATCGACTTTTTGGAATGTAATATTCGTCACCCCTCTCGACGTGGCATACTCGGACGCCTGTCCCAGCACAGACTCGACGGCATCAACACCAATGACCTTGCCCTCGGGGACAAAGGTCGCCAGATCGGCAGTGATGGTACCCGGACCGCAGCCCACATCAAGAATGGTGTGATTGGGGCGGATATGGGGAAGAAGAAATGCTGCTGAGTCTTGGGCCGTTCGACGCGCGTGATCTTCGACCACTGATCTGTGATGGCCGTGGGAGTAGACGGCTTGCTCTTTGGCCATTGTGTATCAGATACTCTTGAGTTTGACGAAGAAGCACACCTGATTGAGGCTGTATGAGTTCGAAGAAGCACTGTACTTTTTTAGCCGCCGCTAGATCTTCTGAAGAATGCCAATAGTTTAGTAGCAGAATATGAGATTGGGATCTGTTATATGTCCATGACAATATTTGGAGAATCAACCTGCGAAGCCGATATCGGCAACACTCAGTTCCACTGGATGGCCCTCGAGACGGACTTTAGTTAATCATAATTTTTCTAGCAGATGGGAATGGAGACGAGCGGGACCCGCTCGTCGAGGGAATACATTCTGAGGAAATTTTTGAAGACACAGATGTTGGATTGAGGATTGAATGGTGAAGCCCAAGATACACAGAGGGGTGAGAGTAGGGCCGCTTTATGGTGGTACTGCCAAGGCAGTAACTCTGCAAACAATGACAATCATTCAATAAAAGCAGCGTCACCGAGGCTCTTCCTGCGTGAATCCGCAACTCACCAACTCAGCCACTCTTGTCATCTTTGACATCTCATATTGTCTGTACCAGTATTCATCTTTTTGGACGTCGGAAAAGTGCGGAACTTCATGGCTCATCATATCTGCAATCCTTTGTAAGAATGAGTGGTCCTTCTAGCTTCCTCAGGAGCCTATGGAGCATCCTTCGGTACCTGTTTCTCTTAGTCTGGATCGAACCATGGACCAAGCCACACATCAACGGTGACACGACACCTGACACCTACGAGGCGTGGTACACTGGACAGTTCGAGTACGATGCTATTCATGGAGTCGATAACTGGGTTACTGTGGACCGTCACTCGAGCTACGACTGGCACATCCTTCGAACACTAAGGCGAGACCTTGAACGATGTCGACGGATGGGGGATGAGAGAGGCTTGTGCAGCCTACTGAGAGCACAGAGCTCCCGTAACATGTGCCGCATTCTATCTCCTGCATTGTATCGGAAATCAAAGATACAAACCAAGCGACTGATCCACGACTACGTGACGGAAGTGCGCCACTGTATCGCATACATCTCAGATCGGAACACCCTCACCAATGGAGTTGCTCCAGTTGTTCCAGCACAAGAGAAGCGCCAAGTTATCATTGACATGCGGACTGCCCTTGGACGTACGAGTCTGGTGCTTCAGGGAGGTGCTATGATCAGTATGTGTCATCTTGGGGTGGTCAAAGCACTTTACCTACAGCGGCTGCTTCCTCGGATCATTACAGGGACATCATCAGGAGCTCTGATTGCTGCGCATATATGCGTGACAAAAGACGAAGATTTGATTGGCGTTCTGGAGGCCAACAACATCAACCTGGATGCCTTCCTTCGTTCTCAAGAAAGATGCGCTGCGACTGGTCCCGTACCATGGTTCAACTCCTCCTTTCTCGCAACCATCAAACGACGCTACCAACGCTATCGAACTTCTCACCACGTATTCGACATCGACGTGTTGCACGAATGCACGCGAGACAATCTGGGGGATATCACATTTGAAGAGGCGTATGCTAAAACAGGAAGAATTCTGAACATCACCATCGCCATGTCCGAGGTGGCGGGAACTCCGCAACTCCTAAATTATCTAACGGCGCCTCACGTACTCGTCCGATCCGCAGTGGTGGCGTCCATAGCGACCTCTAAAGCTATGTACGCCCCTGTTCATTTACTGTGCAAGAGTGCTACAGGCGATATCACTTTGTATTTTGCTGCCGATTTCTCGGAGAAGGGCTGTAATCTGCATCGACAGGCCTCTGTCCACCCGGAAGCGCCGCTGACACGGATAGGCGAATTGTTCAACGTCAATCACTTCATTGTGTCTCAGTCCAGACCCTACATAGCTCCCTTTATTCAACTGCAGAACTTTGCCGACCGTCATCAACCTCTCGGTATCCTAGTTCGCTTTGTTTTGGACGAACTACTGCACTGGCTGCAGGTGATGAATCACTTCGGGATGCTTCCGACCTTTCTCCAGCGGGTTTTGATGGATGAAGTCGTACCAACTCTCGCATCCTGGTCAAAATTGTCCATCACACCGCAACTCGGACTGTGGGATCTCCTGAGCACATTTGATACTCCTACCCCAGAGAAACTGCAGAAATGGAGTGCTCGAGGTGAGAAGTGCACCTGGCCGTATATCTGTGAGCTGAAAGTTAGATGCGACATCGAGCTGGAACTTGACGTTGCTTACACGAATCTCCGCCGGAGAGGAGGAATGGGATCGGTTATCAAGCATCGAGCAGACCCATAGCATATGCGTCAACGGCGGCCAAGCTCCGAATGCGATTGATTGGATTGCCTCCGTCTAATTAGCGAGCCGTTTCTTCCCCAACTCGCCTGTCCCACAACTTGTGGCTGTGCAGCCATCGTGGCGTTTCTCGATTGACGCGCCGATCATGGCTTGCCGAATGACATCACTTTGCACGATCGACGGGGCTGGCGTGTCCAGTCCAAGGTGCGACCAGAACCCTGAAATACTGCCCCAGGAGCTGCTGAGCTGCTCCTTTCCCCTCCTACATTGTCTTCTACTGTAGCTTTCACCGTCTTCAATAGTTCATGTACACCAGCCACCTTGGTCTTGCACGAGAATGTCCCAAGCAGCCTTTGCCAACACGACCTCGCCTGCCTACGAGAAGGAGAAGAAGCATCGGAAGTTGAGCCGTTTGCTCGGCAAGCGAGAGAAAACCCCCGAACCGCAGCCAGACGTTGGACCCGATTCGGCATATGCATCAAGTGGAGCCAATAGTGCAGACGGTGTTCCAGGAGGAATTACTCCTGAGGAAAGAAATCAGAATGAGATAATATCCGCCGAGAAGGACAGCGAGATCGCCAACATCGACCAGGATAGGAATCTCGCACTGAAACCTTCGACGGGAGAGGTTTTTGATGAAGATACAGGAGAAGTTGTTACCGTAGTGACCACTACAGTAAGTCCCGGCAAGATTATGAGGACTTTTTTTGCCGCCGATACCCAATCTCTAGTTCAGAATGCTAATGATATGCTAGACAACTACCACCACTACTACAACTACTAGAGGGAAGAAACATCAAGATGTCCAAAAGGATGTTAAGCGCGAAGTGCAATCCGGCCCGGGCCAACACCCTCAGCTGCTCGAAATGCCCGCAGGATCCACAACCCCGGAACCTCGTGACCCACCAGCCATGGCATCTACCAACACGACACAGAAGGAACGGCCACCTGTGGTGGCCAGTGGAGGACTGCTTGCGGCCGACTCTCCTCCAATCCCGGCCAAAAGTGCTATGAGGAGATCTGGCGACTTTACACGGGACGCCTATCATGCGGATGGTGGTTCTGTGAGCCCTGTCGATCCTCCTTTTGCGAGACGCAATAGCGGGACACCCCCAGCTAGTCCCTCGAGGCACAACTTCAGCTATCCGACTCGTTCATCCCTCAAAACAGCCGATCAGCCGATGCGACATAATCAAAATACTATCAACGATCTGCGAGCTGCAGCCAAGGGACTTCATGTATGTTTCCGTATTCTCAACTACTTTTGAAACATTATCCTGACTTACATCTTCACAGGGCGTAGGGGAGACCCTTCGAGGCACGTTCAGCTCCACAATAGACCGCCGTTTCCCATCCAAAAACCCCGAAAAGGCGGCTCGGGTGAACGCCCAAAACGAGGAAATTTTAGAAAGGGGTCGCGTTGAAATGGAAGGTGTCCCTGGAGGTTGGCCAGCACATGAACCTGACGAGTTCCACCCTGCATACGTCCACCATGAGCCTATCCCAGCAACCGAGCCGGAGGTGGTGACACCAGCAGGCGGACAAGCACGGTCTCCAGATGAGAAACCCGGAAACCTGCGGAAACTATTCAAGCGGAAACCGGTCGCTGAACAAGGTATGCCAAGATGACGAAGGGTCAAGTGACGGGTGAAGTGTGTTTGGCCTCTCCTTCTCATTCCGGCACCTTCATTTCTCTGCCTCTTCCTTCCCTCTGACCGATTCCGAACTATTTAAGGCTGGAAATGTCTGACATGTCGGTCTCTTCCCTACAGAAGCAATTGTACACGACACAACAGGCAACGAACGATCTCGTCGATTTTTCTAAAGCGGCTCTGACCAAAAGCCGGCAATGATCCCAGGATATCAGTATATGGTCTAACGGAATGTACGATTTTATGTGGACATAAGGCGCGAATTTGGGTAGATGTAATGATTGTTACTTGGCGAGTTTCCATTTACCAACTTGTACATATTTGGTCGAGCCCGTCATCCGTGTTGCTCCTTATTCCGGTTTAGTGGCCACTGTGACCCAGTATCTTGTCTCCTCGTCGATTATATCTTTGGACCCAGCAATCTCGGTAAACTTTTGGACAAACAATCTTCTTGCTTTCTCACGGATATCGGTTCGACCAAAGTCCTTGAACATGGACTTGCTGACAGCCTTTTCGAAGATCTCGGCAGCCGCGTCGAGATGATACCGCGTCCTCGCGTATGCCTCGGTTTCGAAAACTTTGTCAACATGGTACCCAGCGTCAACCATCAAAGTCGCCAGAGCTTGTTGTGACTGCCACAGATGCGAGTGCCAGGGTACTGTCTCACCAAGTTCCGAGGCAATGGCAGAGAAGATATTCATGACCACGTTTGCGTCCTTTGTTTGCACGTCGGTGATCAAACGGCCACCGGGTCTAAGTGCCGACTTCCAGTTTTTGACGGCCTGGAGAGGATCCGGAAGGAGAATCAGCGCCGACGCACAGGTTATCACGTCGAAGGATCCGTCAGAATCGTTTGACGTGATGTCGAGCCCACTGAGGTCGGAGATGTCGTGGTTGTGAAACACAATGTCGAGCCCAGCAGCTTGGGCTTTACGCCGGGCGACATTCAGCATTCCCTCGCTGATATCGACGCCGACAACGCGCCCGGATCTCCCGACCACTTGCTTGGCGTCTATGGCCACAAGGCCTGTTCCGCAGGCTAGATCGAGCAGACTGTCCCCTTCCTTTAGTGCGGCCCATTTGATGTAGTCCTGAGCCTGTTTCACGTGCACGTCGTTCTCGTCGTACTGTTCGCTGCGCTCATCGTACATGGATTTCACCACGTCAAGTTGCGACTGAGACATGATTGACCAGCAATCCAGGAGGGAGGGAGGTGGTTCTGAATTTTTGTCGGTTCGTGATGATATGGAGAGATTGTGAAATGTGTACGGGGAATTTTCTGATAAAGACAGTTGAGGCAACCAAGAGTCTAGCATCAATGACGTATCGCCATCCGGTTCAGGCATCAGACCGGCCCTGGATCGGCCCCGCCAGACACCAACACGTCGATATATCGAGGGGCACTTGAGTATCTCTGCCTTCTGAAATTCGCTCGTGATACGAGTCGCAAAGGACTGATAGTGGACAGAAGAGTGTCAGGTTCGAAAGCACAACCGACGAGGCTGTTAGACTAAAGGGGCCAAGGGGTTTATAGAGTGGAGGAACTAGAGACAAGCTTGCCAAGGTCTTGGACGAGGGCCGAGTACGAATTGGTAGCAGAGAATTAGATCCTTTCTTACCTGCTGAGATTCGCACTTCTTGCCACAGAGAAGCTAATGGATATCACTTTCCCGGGAACAGGGCACTGCATACCTATCCATTCGAGATGGTGGTTGGTGACAGGTCCCGGGACAGGATCATCTGTTGATCCGTGACCGCAGCTTCACTTCACACCAGCACTGAAGTCTCTCAGCAATCTGCCGACGAATCACCATTCCAACATCTCCTCAAAGATGCTCCTATGTCTATCCATCCTCTAGGACTTGTTCCAGGCTGCTTCTCCCCGGCTATGAACCCGGCTAAATCCGGCTCTGTCGGCTGTCACACCGGCACTACGGGTCTTCTCCGTCGTCTCAATTCGTGCTTTGGAGGTTTCCCCTTTGACGATCACTTCTCACACGTGCAAGCGAGCCATTGAGCAGACGCAGGACCTCTATATACCCCCGACTTCTCCAGTTTCTCCTCACAGAACCCCGGAGGAGCAAAAACATGGGGGGGAAAGGAGGAACAGGCAACGGCCAGGTTGCAGGAGATATAACAATGGCGTCTGCTGTCCTTTCCCTCATGATGGATGTCTCAAGCTTACATTCTGGAACGCACGGATCTCCACAGTCCCGTACCTCTATGCTCCTCACAGAGCGTTCGTGACCTTTCTTGCACAAGTCATTTCAACTCCTCTGCTTTTGAAACCAGCTTGTCTTGGACATGACGCACAAGGCACCCTATCTCGGCCTGCGTGGCAAACGGCTGACAACGGCCTTGATTGTCATGGTTGTCTGCCCTGCCTACATCTTGATCGGGTATAACAATGCGGCCGCCGGGGGTCTGTTGACCCTTCCATCCTTCGTCGAGACCTTTCCGCGAATCGACACCGTCAATACGGCAGGCAAGCAGCAGGCGGACAATGCACGGATCCAGGGTAAGCTCTTTACTCTCTATCGTCTGTCTCCTTCACGTCTCCAATGTGTTATGTTAGTGCCACCACACCCGCCTGGTGTTTTCTTTCTATGACAGAGGCTCATGTGCTACAATGTTGTAAAAGGAACTGTTGTGGCCTTGTACACCGTTGGTTGCATGTTCGGCTCTCTTCTATGCCTAAAGCTCGGCGACAAGCTCGGCCGCCTGCGCACAATCATGATAGGGGCCGTCATTGAGGTCGTTGGCGCCATCATCATGTGTACGTCCTTCTCGTTGGGCCAACTCATTGTCAGTCGTGTCGTCCTCGGCTTCGGTTTCGGCGCCATCAGCGCCACAGTTCCTGTTTGGCAGTCAGAGTGCTCTCCCGCCGAGCACCGTGGTGCATTGGTTGTGCTTGAAGGCATGTTTGCGAGTTGTGGTCTAGCACTCAGTCAGTGGGTCGAGTTGGGATTCTTCTTCACACGGGGAAGCGTGAGCTGGCGATTTCCCTGGGCGTTTCCTATTGTGCTTGCCCTCTGGATTTTGGCAGCTTGTATATTCCTACCCGACTCACCGCGGTGGTTGGTCAAGAAGGGACGCATCGCTGAAGCGACAACCATCCTCGCCATCCTCGAAGACCTGCCGGAAGACTCACCTGATGTCCAGACCTCGATCCACGAGATGCAGAAATCACTCGCGGAAATGGATCAAGGCAGCCTTCTAGGCCTTTTTCACAACAGCGGTGACCGACTGCTCAATCGAACCTTCTTGGCCTGTTTCAGCACCTTTTCGCAGCAGATGAACGGCGCGGGCGTCATTGGGTTCTACACGACCACCATCTTTGAACAGTATGTCGGGCTTTCAGCCCTGACCTCCCGCATCCTGTCAGGCTCGGTGTACACTTGGCAAATCGCCTGTTCTTTCCTGACCATTTACACAGTCGACCGCTTTGGGCGCCGTCCACTCATGCTTCTGGGCGCCGTCGGTATGGGCGCTGTGTTTATCATTCTTGCTGGAACTGTCGGACACGCTGCAGACTCGCGCGCATGCTCCATCATCTCAGCGCTGTGTGTCTTTCTGTACGGCTTCTTCTTCACCGTGGGTGCCCTGGGGGTCAACTATCTCTACGGCACCGAAGTCGCTCCCTTGGCATACCGCGTGCCCATCTACAGCCTGACGTCTACGACGCTATGGAGCATCAATTTTCTCGTTGTGGAGATTACACCCATTGGGTTTACCAATTTGGGCAACAAGTTTTTCATCATCTTTGCAGTCACCAATCTGTGTATCATCCTGCCTGGTAAGCCATCTGCCCCTCTTTTACAATGTCGTCCGACCCTCTCGTTTATATCTGACTCAATCCGTGCTGCTAGTGGTATATTTTTTCTTCCCCGAGACTCGTCGACACTCGCTCGAAGCCATCGACGCCGTGTTCAAGGGAGCCAACAGCCCCTTTGACGTCGTCCGCCGGGCCAAGAAGATCCCCTCCGACGTCGTGAGACGGGTCGATGCAATCCACATGGTTGAAGCTGGAATGCCGGATGAGGGCAGCGCGTCGCCCGAGATGCAGGAGTCGCAGAGCGAGAAGGCCGTGTACCAGATGGTGGAGAAGACGACGTGAGTTCCTGCGTGGGCATGAGTGAAGCCTATGTAGGTAGAACGAAGATACCGAGCAGCTCGGTGAGGAAATTCTCCGATCACGGGAAAGGGAACGCCTCGTATGAAAAGAGTAGGTATCTAGGTATTATTGGGAGTTTGGCTTTGTTGAGCGAATGTTCGCGGCTGTTGATGGTATCCAGGATTCTTGGTTGGTGGGCTCTCTCTCACTGTCAATGTAATGAACTAATCTAGGCGGTTTGTCCCTGGATATGTAATGTGCCGAGTAGTCCTGTTCTGTCTTGTCTTATCTCGTCTTGTCCCGTCTGGGCTTGTCCTGTCTTGTCTCATCTTCTACCGCCTGGATCGTCTACCTCCCTTCCTTATATCTCACTGTTTCAGCACAGTGTATATGTATGTATGTATACATTAGTACACTACACACACCGAGTACGTTCAGTTCATACCATATGCTATGCTATGCTATGCTATGCTGTGCTGTGCTCATGTAGAAGCAATGAAATTCTGGCAAACTCTGCATTTTATGTATCCCAGGTGTTCGGTCAACGCCCATCATCTCAATCAGCTCAATCAGCTTGATCATCCGGATCCGAATCAGCCTAGGCTGCCGAATCAATCACTCGACGGTGACGGATACCCATCGGCCTTGATCCTTGTCCTCCCCCGCGACCTCGACCTCGACCTCGACCGTCCCCTCGCCCTCGTTCTCAAACGTGATCGTCGGGCCCTGGTAGTGCCTCCTCGCGTGGGCGAACCAGTTGACGATACCGAGGAGCAGGGCGATTCCCAAGATGACACACGTGTAGTCTATCCAGGAGGTCAGAAAGAGTTCCGCGTGAGGTTGAAAGAGGGAATTTCTTGGGAGGTGAAAATCTTCGGAACCCACACATGATGTTCTACACCAAAAACCAAAAACCAAAAACCAAAAAAAAAAGGGTGGAAATCACTCACTCATCGACGAGGCCGAGGTGGGCAAAAAGGCCGGCATGTTGAAAAAGACGGTGGTGACGAGGGAGAAGGCGACGACGATGACGTTGGCGATCCACCCGACGGCCGGCGGCGGCGCGAAGAACCGGGTCCGGGGGAGATACTTGGGACCCCGGCGGCGGTAGAGGAGGAGGGCGACGGGGATGACAAAGGAGAGCTGCTGGAGCACGATCGACGAGCTGATGAGGGCGTTGAAGGCTGTGTGCACGATCGCATACAAAGTCAGGTTGTGGAGGCGGAGGCCGCGAAGCGGGAAAGAAGGCAGAAAAGGGAAAAACGGGAGGGATATAGACGGTACGTACCGGTAGTAGAAGCGACAAAGATGCATCCACACAGGACCAGGATCGCGTAGGTCAGGAGGAGCGCGTAGACGGGAACTTCCAGCGTCGGATGGATCCTGCATAGCCGGGAGGAGAAGACGAGGCCGTTGTCGCGGGCAAACGACCAGGCGAGGCGGGACGACGTCTCCTGGACGGCGTTGAGGATGAAGACGGTCATGACGATGCCGACGACGATGAAGGCGGTCGCGAGGGCCGTCGATCGGAGGCCCTGTCTCATCACCACCCAGGGAATGTACCTGTTGTTGTTGTGGAATGTTAGTCGTATACACGGAACCATAACGATTCAAGAGCTTCTCCCTCACTCGGTCGTGGTCATAATGGCCTCAATATCGGTCAAAGCATAGAGCTGGGCGACCGTGTACGCAAACGCCGTCACGCACCCGATGAGCACTGCCGTGACCATGGCCGTGGGGACCGTCCGACTCGGGTCCTTGCACTCCTCGGCAATGTGCATCGAGGCGTCCAAGCCGATGTACATGACACACGAGGTCGACAGGCCAATGATGAAGCACACCCCGTCCGGCCAGCCCGTGTAGTTGATAAAGGTGGCCCAGACGAAGCTCGACGGCGCCTTGGGCGATGATCGGACCAGCAGTGCCACGAAGCTCGCCAGGAACAGGCACAGGGTGAGAGCAACTGTTTTTTTTTTTTTTTCCTTTAGAAACTTTTGACTTCTTCATATATTGGCTGCGGAGGGAAAGACGAGACAGACGTACATCCAACATTGTGAGTCCACGGAGTCTTCTTCAGCAGGAACAGATTGTTGAGGAGCACGAAAAGAGCCATGGCCTGGTAAATGAGAAGAACGTGCCACTCTTTGGTCTCGAACCCGGGATGGAACGCCGCCACCAACGCCATAATCTGCTGGGCGGGGATGACGGTCACGGCCGCTCCGATGGCGGTCCACGAGAAGATGGACAGCAGGCCGCACGCGTACGAGATGCCCTGCTTGATCTTCTTCGGTGCCAGGATCGACGCGAAATGGTACTGTCCGCCTGCAGTTGGGTAAACACTGGCCAGTTCGGCCATGGAGATGGCGATGCTCATGTAGGCGATTGAGGAGACCACGATGCTGTAGATGAGAGTGGCGGGCCCGCCCTGCAGAAGCGCCAGTTGAATGCTTCCTGCGACGCCGGCCCAGCTGTTGCAGATGACAAAGGCAAAGGCGACCATGTTCCATTTGGTGAATTGTATTTTTGTCGGGGCACTTCCGATCGTAAGGTCTTGGACGGTCCCATCTCCCACGCTGATGAAACGATGCAGTTGTTGCTCTGTCGTTGCTGGTCATGGTCAGTCAGTCTGTATCAGTCCGGGGAAGGATGCCTGTGCGAACTGACCAAGTGCTAGTGTCTTGGGATTTTTGGTGTCCATTATTGCGTGAGGTGAACAAGTCAAACCACCATTGAAGCAGGGAAGCGTGTCATCTGAGATCAGGAGACCATGTCTGGGAGAGGGTCGTAATGATATAAGACTTGGCCATGATAGAACCAGCTCCCAGGCGGAAGGCGGAAGGCGAGCATCGACCGAGGTTACTCGTCGAGGTGCAGACCGTAGGCTTCAGGTCCATTGTCGATGGTGTTGAACCGCGCTTCCATGCATGTTCGTTATCAGGATTGATACCCATCTGTGATGGCTGCATGATGTTTGATGCGAGGATTGAGAGGAGATGCAAGTCGTTCTGTGGTCGGGGATTCTCCATCCATCCAGCTCTCGCCATATGGTTGTATTGACTTCATGGTGTTGTTGCCCTCAGTTCGCCTCGTTATCAGTTCACCCCGACCCCAGAACGGGGAGGGTATCAGAGGTGGGGAAATAGACCCGGCGACATTGCGAATGCTAGCAATCTACCGCGCTTAGAGGGCATTCAAGTGTCCCAAATAGGCCTAGTGCATTGTGGAGTAGGGTCTCACCCCGGATCCAAGCCCGGGGTTAAAGGAGTTAAATAGATTACCCAGGAGGGAGTAGATGGCGAGGATGGTGGAGTATTGATCAGAGTAGAGACTATCCAGGTATGTAAATAGATAGAGAGCTCATGCTTCACAGGTTCGCCGAGACCTTTCTGATCAGACCCTCCTCCTTTGCCCAGGCAAGCACCTCATCAGCCGCACGGCTGCCCGCCCTAAGAGCACCTTCGAGATACCCCTTCCACTCAAACGCCGTCTCACCACCGGCAAAGTGGATGTGTTTGAATGGCTGTCGCAGCGCTGCACCGTACCTGGAGAGCATCCCAGGTCCCATCGCGGACGTGGGTGCGCCACCCAGGTATTCTTCCTCGCCCCAGTTGACATAGTTGACTTCGAGGACGTCGTCCCTAGCCAGGTGTGCGTGCTCGTCACCCACCAGCTCGGCCAGATGGTCAATTACGGCTTCGATGCGTTGGAGCTCGTTCAGCGTCGCCCATCTAGTCGCGATCTCACCCGCGCTGAACAGCGCCAGGGAGTACTGTTGCCGCGACTCGTCCGAAATGTCCCACGAGAAACAGATCGGGCCCTTGAAGCTCGTGAATTTGCCCACTAACCCGATGTCTCTCCACCACATCCGACTATACGTAAGAATGATCTTCGCATATACACCTGGCTTGGTACGGGAGACGAGCGCACTCTTGTCATGAGGTAAAGGAGGCGAGAAGTTAATCAGTTTGTAGGTATTGGTTGGGATGGCAATGACCACTTTCCGACAGAATATGCTGTCTCCTGTCGCAGTGTGGACAAGCGCTCCTTTGGCGGTTTGATGGATGTTGTCGACGGGACTGTTGATAAAGATAGATCCAGGCTTCATCTCGTCCGCTAGACCAGTCGCGATAGCTGAAGTGCCTGCCAGATAAGTAAGCGGAAGAAGTTTTACGAGCAGACGTTCGGTTATCACCTTGCTTGATCTTGAGAGACTGGGCGCCAGCTTCGCCTTCAGTCGCGAGACTCATAAATCCTCCCCCGGACTTGACGTAATCCAGGAAATAATGCATCCCCGTCTCGGCTGGATCGCGACCAACAACGGCGCTTGTAAAGAACTTCACCGCAGACTTGGTCAGATCATCGCTGAACCCTTTGCTCTCGGACCACGTGTCCATCGAAACGTCAAGGTTTGTGGGGAACTCGTCCGTCTTGTGGATGTTAATGTCCTGGCCACCGCCATCGATCAACTCACACATCGCGATATTGAATTGGTTCACCTGGTCTGCCTGAGGCTGAGTCGCGGGTTGATCAGCAGCCACACACTTTCCAAACATCAACAGAACCTAGACTTACAGTGCCAGGGGTTGTTCTCACAGCTGCGCCGTCATGGAACTGCCAGATTTCGTCCCCTTGGGTATATTGATCCACAACATCCAAGCCCAGTCGTATAGCTGTGGCATACACTTTTGGTTGTGTCTTCTTGTTGATCCAGGTCGCCCCAAGCTCGATGATGCCCGGCCCGCTCTGCAGTTGCTGCGACCGGCTTCGACCACCAATGCGATGCTTCGCTTCCAGAAGAACGCAGCTCAACCCAGCCTTTTGCAGATCCCACGCTGCTTGCACACCACTGAAGCCGCCGCCAACCACCACCACGTCGACCTTGGACGGCGCTCCTGGTTGGGCAAAGGAGCGAACAGAGGGTCCTGCGTATCGCTCGGCATGGCCTCCAACCGCAGCCACCACCTCGATCTCAAGTTTGGCTCCCGGGATTGCAAGCTTCGTGA